CTGAAGAGATTTTGGGCTGAGACGATTGGGTTTTTCGTAGATATACAGTCAGTGTCATCTGCAAACGCAGGGACAATTTGACTTGCTTCTTTTCCTAATGAATACCCTTTATTTCTTCTCTCCTGCGCTGATTGCCTTGCAGGAATTCCAAACATGTTGAATAGAGTGTGGAGAGAGGCATCCCTGTTTGTGCGAGTTTTCAAGAGGGTAATCTCTTCCGTTTTTGCATTTGAGTATGATATTGGCTGTGTGTGTTGTCATAATAGCTACTTATTGATTTTAATACGTAATCAATACTAATATTGAGTTGATGAAGGCTTGACTTTTATCAAAGGCCTTTTCTGCATCTGTTGAAATAATCATGTTGTTTTTGTCTTTGGTTCTGTTTATATGATGGATTACGTTTATTGATTTGCATATGTTGTACCAGCCTTGCATCCCAGGGATGAAGCCCAGTTGATCATGGTGGATAAGCTTTTTAATGTGCTGCTGGATTTGATTTGCCAGTATTTTATTGAGGATTTTTGCATTGATGTTCATTAGGAATATTGGTCTAAAATTCTGTTTTTTTGTTGTGTCTCTGCCAGGCTTTGGTATCGGGATAATGCTGGCCTCATAAAATGAGTTAGGGTGGATTGCCTCTTTTTCTGTTGATTGGAATAGTTTCAGAAGGAATGGTGTCAGCTTCTCTTTGTACCTCTGGTAGAATTCGGCTGTGAATCCGTCTGGTCCTGGACTTTTTTTGGTTGGTAGGCTCTTTATTATTGCCTCAATTTCAGAGCCTGTTATTCGTCTATTCAGGAATTCAGCTTCTTCCTGGTTTAATCTTGGGAGGTTGTATGTGTCCAGGGATTTTTCCATTTCTTCTAGATTATCTAGTTTATTTGTGTAGAGGTGTTTATAATATTCTCTGATGGTAGTTTGTATCTCTGTGGGATCAGTGGTGATATCCCCTTTATGATTTTTTATTGTGTCTATTTGATTCTTCTCTCTTTATTAGTCTTGCTAGCGGTCTATCAATTTTATTGATCTTTTCAAAAAAACAGCTCCTGGATTCATTGATTTTTTTTGAAGGGTTATATCTCTATCTCCTTCAGTTCTGCTCTGATCTTAGTTATTTCTTGCCTTCTGCTAGCTTTTGGATGTGTTTGCTCTTGCTTCTCTATTTCTTTTAATTGTGACATTAGGGTGTCAATTTTAGATCTTTCCTGCTTTCTCTTGTGGGCATTTAGTGCTATAAATTTCCCTCTACACACTGCTTTAAATGCGTCCCAGAGATTCTGGTATGTTGTGTCTTTGTTCTCATTGGTTTCAAAGAACATCTTTATTTCTGCCTTCATTTCGTTTTGTACCCAGTAGTCATTCAGGAGCAGGTTGTTCAGTTTCCATGTAGTTGAGCAGTTTTGCATGAGTTTCTTAATCCTGAGTTCCAGTTTGATTGCACTGTGGTCTGAGAGACAGTTTGTTATAATTTCTATTCTTTTACATTTGCTGAGGAGTCCTTTACTTCCAACTATGTGGTCAGTTTTGGAATAAGTGTGATGTGGTGCTGAGAAGAATGTATATTCTGTTGATTTGGGGTGGAGAATTGTGTAAATGTCTATTAGGTCTGCTTGGTTCAGAGCTGAGTTCAATTCCTGGATATCCTTGTTAACTTTCTGTCTCATTGATCTGTCTCCTGTTGACAGTGGGGTGTTAAAGTCTCCCATTATTATTGTATGGGAGTCTAAGTCTCTTTGTAGGTCTCGAAGGACTTGCTTTATGAATCTGGGTGCGCCTATATTGGGTGCATATATATTTAGGATAGTTAGCTCTATCTAACTATCCTTGTTGAATTGATCCCTTTACCATTATATAATGGCCTTCTTTATCTCTTCTCATCTTTGTTGGTTTAAAGTCTGTTTTATCATAGACTAGGATTGCAACTTTTGCTTTTTTTTGTTTTCTATTTGCTTGGTAGATCTTCCTCCATCCCTTTATTTTGAGCGTATGTATGTCTCTGCACGTGAGATGGGTCTCCTGAATACAGCAGACTGATGGGTCTTGACTCTTTATCCAGTTTGCCAGTCTGTCTTTTAATTGGAGCATTTAGCCCATTTACATTTAAGGTTAATATTGTTATATGTGAATTTGATCCTGTCATTATGAGGTTAGCTGGTTATTTTGCTCGTTAGTTGATGTAGTTTCTTCCTAGCATTGATGGTCTTTACAATTTGGCATGTTTTTGCAGTGGCTAGTACTGGTTGTTCCTTTCCATGTTTAGTGCTTCCTTCAGGAGCTCTTGTAAGGCAGGCCTGGTGGTGACAAAATCTCTCAGCATTGGCTTGTCTGCAAAGGATTTTATTTCTCCTTCACTTATGAAGTTTAGTTTGGCTGGATATGAAATTCTGGGGTGAAAATTCTTTTCTTTAAGAATGGTGAATTTGGCCCCCACTCTTTTCTGGCTTGTAGAGTTTCTGCCGAGAGATCCGCTGTTCGTCTGATGGGCTTCCCTTTGTGGGTAACTCGACTTTTCTCTCTGGCTGCCGTTAACATTTTTTCCTTCATTTGAACTTCAGTGAATCTGACAATTATATGTCTTGGAGTTGCTCTTCTCGAGGAGTATCTTTATGGCTTTCTCTGTATTTCCTGAATTTGAATGTCTGCCTGCCTTGCTAGGTTGGAGAAGTTCTCATGGATAATATCCTGCAGAGTGTTTTCCAACTTGGTTCCATTCTCCTCATCACTTTCAAGTATGCCAGTCAGATGTAGATTTGGTCTTTTCACATAGTCCTATATTTCTTGGAGGCTTTGTGCATTTCTTTTTACTCTTTTTTCTCTAAATTTCTCTTCTTGCTTCATTTCATTCATTTGATCTTCAATACCTGATACCCTTTCTTCCAGTTGCTTGAATTGGCTACTGAAGCTTGTGCGTGCATCATGTAGCTCTCCTGCCATAGTTTTCAGCTCCATCAGGTCATTTAAGCTCTTCTCTACGCTGTTTATTCTAGTTAGCCATTTGTCCAATCTCTTTTCAAGGTTTTTAGCTTCTTTGCGATGGGTTCGAACATCCTCCTTTAACTCAGAGAAGTTTGTTATTACCGAATGTCTGAAGCCTTCTTCTCTCAACTCGTCAAAGTCATTCCCTGTCCAACTTTGTTCCGTTGCTGGCGAGGAGCTGTAATCATTTGGCGAAGAAGGCGGCGCTCTGATTTTCAGAATTTTCAGCTTTTCTCCTCTGGTTTCTCACCATCTTTGTGGTTTTATCTCCCTTTGGTCTTTGATGATGGTGACGTACAGATGGGGTTTTGGTGTGGATGTCCTTTCTGTTTGTTAGTTTTTCTTTTAATAGTCAGAACCCTCAGCTGCAGTTCTGTTAAAGTTTGCTGGAGGTCTACTCCAGACCCTGTTTGCCTGGGTATCACCAGCAGAGGCTCCAGAACCTCATGTACTGCAGAATGGCAAATATTGCTGCCTGATTGTTCCCCTGGAAGGTTCATCTCAGAGGGGCACCCAGCCGTATGAGGTGTTAGTCAGCCTCTACTGGGAGGTGCCTCCCAGTTAGGCTACTCTGGGATCAGGGACCCATTTGAGGAGGCAGTCTGTCCATTCTCAGATCTCAAACTCTGTGCTGGGAGAACTACTACTGTCTTCAAAGCTGTCAGACAGGGACATTTAAGTCTGCAGAAGTTTCTGCTGCCTTTTGTTCAGCTATGCCTTGCCCCTGGAGGTGGAGTCTACAGAGGCAGGCAGGTCTCTTTAAGCTGTGGTGGGCTCCACTCAGTTTGAACTTCTGGGCCGCTTTGTTTACTTACTTAAGCCCCAGCAGTGGCAGGTGCCCCTCCCCCAGCCTCGCTGCCACCTTGCAGTTTGATCTCAGACTGCTGTGCTAGCAGTGAACAAGGCTCCGTAGGCGTGGGACCCTCTGAGCCAGGTGCAGGATGTAATCTCCTGGTGTGCCGTTTGCTAAGACTGTTGGAAAAGCACCATATTAGGGTGGGAGTGACCCAATTTTCCAGTTGCCATCTGCCATGGCTTCCCTTGGCTAGGAAAGGGAATTCCCCAAACCTTTGTGCTTTCTGGGTGAGACGATGTCTCACCCTGCTTCAGCTCGTGGTCTGTGGGCTGCACCCACTGTCCTGCACCCGCTGTCCAACAATCCCGAGTGAGAGGAACCTGGTACCTCAGTTGGAAATGCAGAAATCACCCGTCTTCTGTGTCGCTCACGCTGGGAACTGTAGACTGGAGGTGTTCCTATTCGGCCATCTTGGAACCTCCTCACTGGCTTCTTTTACTTAGCATATTTTCAAGGTTCATCCATGTAGCACATATTAGTATTTCTTTTTTATTGGCAAGTAATAGTCTATTGTATGGGTACAGTAGTATTATTGGAAATACATTTTACTGTTATGGCTTAAAACAAAGTATTGATTTCTTAGGTCTTCTGAATTGTATGCGAGTATTTTCTGAGGTATTGCTTTGGAATCTAACAAGCTCATAAGGAACTTGAAGGAGGTGGGTAGAAGAGATAATAGTTTATTGACATCAGCAGATCATAGGATTGTAGCTGGGCTGATGAGAAATGGTATTGCAATGATAGTTGCAAGTGACCAGAGAGAATGTGGGTTGCACTGAAGTACAGGACAGCACTTGATCATTGGGCAGCAGGTGATGGGGGAAGGAAAACTTTGGAGAAACTAACAGATAATGCCTGTCAGGCAAAATTAACATGTCACACTTTAAGGTTCGAATCTGATGAAGGGAGAGTCAATTCTTTTTTTAAAAAATAGAATTATAGAAATATTGGCCAGGCACATAATCCCAGCTCACTCCTGTAATTCCAGCAATTTGGGAGGCCGAGGTGGGAGGATTGCTTGAGCCCAGGAATTCAAGACCAGCCTGGGTAATGAAAAACAAGACAAAACAAAAAAAGGCCAGCCATAGTGGTGCACACCTCTACTCCTAGCTATTGAGAGGCTGAGGTGGGAGGATCACTTGAGCTCAGAAGTTTGAGATTGCAGAGAGCTACAACTGTGCCACTGAACTCTAGCATGGGCAAAGGTGAGAGACCCTGTCTCAAAAAAGAAATTATAGAAATCTTCAGTAATATTTTGTCATGAGTGAAAAAAAATCCATGTTTATGATGGGAAAAGATAGAAAATAAATTCTCCAAAAGAAAATAGCTATAATCTTCTCTCTCAGAGATTGTTAACATTTTGGTGATTCTTGCTATTGTTTTTGTTGATAGAAATATCCATACATGCATGTAATATGAATAGATGAGTGGTATATATATTTGAAACCTAACTATTTTACAATTTTTTTAACGTAATAGATCCCAAACATACTAAGTATTCTTTAGTAACTAATTACAGAATGAAGTGTTCACCTATAACATGATTTTTTAATGGCTGCATGAAATTCTGTTCTTTGGATAAACCATAATTTGTCACCATTGATCAGCGTGAGTAAATTTTAGTACATTAGTAATTTTTTGAAAATCCTACCTAGATTATTTCATTATTCCATAGTGTTAATGCATACTACCATTTTTTAATCGTTGGTTTACTTTATAACTTAAAATTTTGGTCTAGAAAATATAAATATTAAGTGTCCTGCATTTTGCCATTCTCCAAATGTCAGATGGATCTGTAAAACTTCATTTTTTAATGGAAACCATTCTAAATTATTGCCATAAATTTGAGCACTTTCAAATAACTGCAAGAATTTGGATAATATCACAGATTAAAAAGAAAAAAAAGTGAGTTTCTTCCAGATGAACTTAGTAGGAAGGAATTTAAAAAGTGAATATTTATAGATGGGTTTATTGGGTTATTAAACTAGTAATTTCTCCCCTTAAATAATTTCTAAGGCTGGGTAGTACATGGTCTATGGCTAAAGATCCAACAATATAGCTTTCCTGTAAAAAAGCAAAACAAAACCCTGACTACTGGCTCCTTCCTTGTTAGTCTGTAATGCTCCCTTACTTCCTACCATCTAGTGGAGATCCAGTAGAGAACTGTTGATGGCAGAACCCTAGCCACAAACTTTGGTAATAGTCCATTGTTATACAGTTCAGGAAAAGTTTGGCACAAGTGAGGTAGAATAGCAGGACTGTATTATTAGATTTTGGGAAGAAATAAAAGATACACTGATGGAATTTCGTTTTCTGTCTCAGTTTCACTGTTTTTCTGATCAGTACTTGGAATTTATTTGTCCTTAATAGAAATATCATGTGAAGCTTGATGAACTTTTATACATGAATTGCTTTATGTTAATTACGAACAATTTTAGTATGATGATATGCTAATTCTTTCATTTCCATTTTGAATATCCCAGTGCCACCTTCACCAGCTGTCAATGTACCTTCTAATTCTGCCCACCATAATTTTCTTTCTTTTAAAGTTTACCGTGGAAATGAATTTATTCTGTGGTAATAATCATTGTAAAAGTCTTTGAACAATAAAAAGAAACAAAGTCTCAGCTAACCTGTTTATCATGAGGTTGAAGAGATATCCTTTTATTCTTAGTTCACAAAGAGGTTTATTTATTTAAATCAGGGATGAAAGATGGTTTTGGAAAAAATCTTTTAAAAATAATCTCTTAACCCTTTAATGAATGACATCAGTGGATTTCTGCATATCACTTTTTGTTTTCACTGAAATAAAACCTATGCCCTATTCAATTTACTAATATTTTACTTAGATTTTTCATTAGTATTCATGAGGGAGATTGGTCTACAGATCCTTCCTACCTTTTATTATGCAAGTTTTGGTGCATAAATTTTTTTTTTAATGGGGGAGAGAGGTTGCCACTTTGTCAGGTTTTTGCATCAGGGCTGTGCTAGCCTCACAAAGTTAATTTAGAAGCTTACTATTTTTTCTCTATGTTTTGGAACTGTTTGAAAGCTGTGGACATGATCATTTCTTTAAAGTCTGGCAGAACTTTGAAATTATCTGGGCCTGGGGTTTTGTTCAGGATAGATCTTTTACAACAATGGAAAGTTGTTGTAAAGACTTATATAAAAGTTTTTGACCTGTATCTTTTTGGTAGACAGCAATATAAAGCTCTCTCTTATTGTAGTTAATACATTTTGGTTTGAATTCTTCATTGAAATTAACATTGCCACCATGCTTTATGTCTATTCAAATAATTGTACATGTTCAAACAGCTTTACTTGGAGTATCCAAAAACTGGAAGTAATCCAATGGACATTGGAACAACATGGAATGGAAAAGTACATTGTGATATATTCAGGCAGTGGAATATTACTCAGCAATATGAAATATTGATACATGCAGCTACATGGGCAAATCTTAAAATATGCTGAATGAAAGAAGCTAAAGAGTAAAATCTTTATTATTCAATTTATATAAACTTCTAGACAATGCTCACTAATTTGTGGTGACAGAAAGCAGATCATTGGTTACTGAGATGGGGTGGGTGGATGAAGAAGGCCACGAAGAAAGAAAGGACTACAAAAGACTACAGGGAAACTTTTGGGAGTGATGTATATATTCATCATGTTGATAGTGGTGATGGTTTTGTGAATCAAAATGTATCAAATTATATGTTTTAAATATGTGCAGTTTAGTACACTTCAGTTATACCTCAGCAAATTTGAAAAATCCATTCAACTCTGATTTGAAATGCCATCTTCATCTGATACTAAATTTCCCTGTTGCTGAATGTGTTTCTAGGCTCTCTTCAACTCTACTAAACAAATATATTTGACTTTATGTTTCTATATTGATATAAAGAATTAAACAGTGTCTTTTCAGTAAAAGTGTTGGGAGACCTGGGAAGCCACCTGAAAAAAATATTGATAGATTCATACTTATACACCAGGATAAGGATAAATTCCAAGTGGAACAGTCATGAACTCCAAACCACTCAAGCCCCTGCCTTGGCCTTACACTTAACGACCTATACTTAAGTCAGGCCATGACATGAATTAAACACTGGTACTAATATCAAAATCTTTTCATTCTAGAGGGCTTCCTGGAACTTGACTGGGACCTATGCGCTAGAATTTACCGAAAGCAGCTGACCCCTGCTTTGCTTTTACTATTCCAGCAGTGCAGATAAAGTCTCACTTCCAGCTAGGCATGGTGGCTTGTGTCTGTATTCCTAACTACTCGGGAGGCTCAGATGAGTGGATTCCTTGAGCGCAGGAGTTTGAGTCCAGCCTGGGCAACATAGGAAGCCACCATCTCTTAAAGAAAAAAAAAAAAAAGGTAGATTTTGACTTTTTTGTCACAAGAAAACAAAGGCTCTTATGAAGTCCCATGCTTTGTTGAGCACTGGTTTATTTAATTAGTTAACAGATTGGATTTATGCTTTCACACAGCTACATATAGTGTCCTTTTCTAAGGAAAAAAGTAGGCTGCAACCACACGAGTCAGAGGCAATTTTTTTTTTTGTTGTCGTTCTTTTTTGCTTTCCTGCAGTTAGGGAGAACTGATTGTCATATTATACCCTAAATATCAACTAAAGTGTCTATGACAAAATTAGTGCAGTTAGGTCAGCATTATCCCACTCTGTATGTTTGAATTTCTCTCTCTGACCTGCACAGCTACTTCAGAAGCCTTTCTCTTGAATGAAGCTTTATGTCTGCAATTCATGTAAGTACAATATAACTGGCTATAGCTTACTGTTTTAGCTTAATGTGATAAGTTATTCACAGAATTAAAGTTTAACTGTGTGATAAAAACATAATTAAATATATAAATTGTATATAACTGATTAGAAAGATTAAATAGGTCTTAATCTGTGTTTACTTGTATGTAGAACTTCATGAACTGTAGGGGGAACTGTAGATGGAGGTTTTGCTGTAGTTTTCTAAAGCCAATTAGCTCTAAATCTGGGTGATAATCCAAACTAAATAAAGCATCCTTTAAATGCCAAAAGAGGTTGGCAGTGTGCCATTTTTTTCTGTAGGTTCTGTCAGCCTTAAGCTGTAAGAAAATAAACAAATACTTTTGCATATATATATTTCCCTGTTAGTTTAATGTCTGAAACTGTTTTCTTTTAATGGTTCGTTCTTTCTTTCTTTCTTTCTTTCTTTCTTTCTTTCTTTCTTTCTTTCTTTCTTTCTTTCTCTCTCTCTCTCTCTCTCTCTCTCGCTCTCTTTCTTTTTCAAGTACCACTTTTTCATTTTTCATTGTCTTAGTTCTGAAATTGCATACTTAGGGTGCTTTTTTCATTTTAATTTAGGTTTAACACTCTCTTCTTGTTTGTTACACGATGTTAATGCATAAAAATATATAGCAATGTCTTTATACTTATTCAGTTACTACTGCCAAATATTCTGTTCTTATTTAATTTTCACCTTTCAACTTCTGTGGTGGTACTTGTTGTGTGTTTGTACATAAAACCCAACATAAAGTGGTATGTTCGCCATATGATTGCAATTGATCTTAAATTTTCATCTTTTAGGGGGTTTAGGAGTTTTTTTAAAATAGAGATCCTAATTGTGACATCTGAAGTGAAGGAATCAGATTTTGTTGTGAGACTAAATATTATATGCACTTTATAAACTATCCTTGATTCCTCCATCATTTAGAAAAAGTTGCAAACAAATGCATGTGCTTTTGAGTCTCCCATGGCATCTAATAGCTGCTTTAATGACCTTGCCCACTTAACTATGATTTGGTAAACAGTTCTAGATCTGAGGATTGATATGTGAGGGAAAATGGTAGAATTCGAAAAAAGTAAAATAAATCCGGTATAAAGCACCATATGTATAAAGCATGCCCTAGATGTTAGGGTAGCTACAAAAGAGGTTGAAATCTCTGCAGTTAAATGATGTTATGTCTTTATTGTCTGTATCATGCCCTAATCAAATTGAATTCTGGTTCAAATTCTACCTGACATCTGAAGATTTGACAACAGACTCTGGAACAGATTTGTCATCAGATAGAGAAATTCTCTTCCTCTCCCACCCCTGTCCCCCAGGGTGAAGTTAATACTTCTTTAGGTAAGTTTTGCCTTGTGCTCCTTTATTTTCTTCCCTAGAGTCAGTGAGCAAGGGTGACACCTTGGCAATGGCTTGGTCAATTAGGACCTTCAGAGAACCTAAGTACACCCTCTCCTCCTTTCCTAATCAAACTGCTGTTATATAAAGACCACATTCTGAGTTACTGCCAACATTGATGCTGTTGGGAGCATGGAAGAGCTCAGCAGTAGCTTTGATAGTTTGTTGGTCTGTTTATAAAAATAACATTTTTTTCCTGATTGCAAAATAGTAATATAATTACTCAACATTGGAAAACACAGAAGAGTGCACACATAAAAAGTACTTATAATTCCAATACCCCTGAGATAGTACTTGTTAACATTATTTAATATAACTTGCTATTTTTTTTTCCCCATGCATATATGTTTTGTATAGAAAATAAATACCCATTTTCTGGCTAAAATTAATTAAATTATTGAATGTGTATTTGTTGAGCACTGACTATACACTATTGTGCTTGACACTGGATTCTTATGTAATAACTATTTTAAACCTGTTTTTATAAATATATGATCAGCATTCTTCTACATCACATATATCATTTATGACTGGTCTTTAGGTAAATTGGAGACTTGGCAAGCCTGGTCCACCGTGGTTAAGGGATGTGCCATTTGAGACCTATAGGGAAAAGACTGGCATTCCAGGGGGTCTCTTGTGGGCTCAGGAGGTCACCATATAGAATTAATAGAGCTCAGAGCTTATACAGAGAATCCCATTTTCTTTCCATTTAGCGTAATGAAACTTCCTGGGAAGGTTATCAAAGACTGATAGGACGTGCAGGTTTGTTACATAGACAACTGTGTGCCATGGTGGTCTGCCGCATCTATCAACCCATCACCTAGGTATTAAGCCCCACATGCATTAGCTATTGATCCTGATGCTCTTCCTCCCCCAACCCTTGCCACAGTGTGCTCCAGTGCTCCAGTGTGTGTTGTTCCACTCCCTGTGTCCATGTGTTCTTATTGTTCAGCTCCCACTTATAAGTGAGAACATGTGGTGTTTGGTTTTCTGTTCCTGTGTTAGTTCGCTGAGGAAAATGGCTTCCACCTCCATCCATGTCCCTGCAAAGGACATGATCTCGGTTCCTTTATATGGCTGCATAGTATTCCGTGGTATAACTGTGTTTGAAGTGACAAAAGTAAAAATTGTGTTTTTTTATGGTGTACAACATGTTTTGATATATGTATACATTGTGGAATGGCGAAATCAAGCTTATTAACATATACCTTATCTCACATACTTATCTTTTTTTGTAATGAGAGCACTTAAAATCTACTTTCTTAGCAATTTTCTTTTCTTTCATTCTTTTTTTTTTTTTTTTTTAGACAGGGTCTTACTCTGTTGCCTAGCTAGAGTGCAGTGGTGTGATGACAGCTCAGCTCACTGCAGGCTCGACCTTCCTGTCTCAGGTGATCCTCCCACCTCAGCCTCCTGAGTAGCTGGGACTACAGGTATGTACCACCACGCTCAGCTAATTCTTGGAGTTTTTTGTAAAGACAGGGTTTCGCCATGTTGCCCGGGCTGGTCTCGAACTCCTGGGCTTCAGTGATTTGCCTGCTTTGGCCTCCCAAGGTGCTGGGATTACAGGCATGAGCCACTATGCCTGGTCAGCAATTTTCAAGTATATAACACTTTATTATTAACTATAGTCACCATGTTGTACAGTGGATCTCTTGGATTTATTCCTCCTGTCTAATTGAAATTTTGTATCCTTTAGCCAACATTTGCCCAGTCCTCCCCCGATTCTACTCTGTTTCTGTGAGTTTGTATTTTTTATGTTCCGCATGTAAGTAAGATAATATATTTGTCTTTCAGTGCCTGGCTTATTTCACTTAATATAGTGTCCTCCAGGTTCATCCATGTGGTTGCAAATGACAGAATGTCCTTCTTTTTAAGGCTGAAGAGTAGTTGCTTGTGTATATATACCACATTTTCTTTATTTGTTCAGCTGTTGATGGACACTTAGATTGATTCCATATCTTGACTATTGTGAATAATGCTGCATGAGCACAAGAGTGACGACATACTGATATCTTCTTGTTGATTTACTGATTTCATTTCCTTTGGAAACATACCCAGTAGTGGGATTGCTATCCATCCATCAGAATGGACTTTAATTGCTCTTCTTGGATTCTTTTCTTTTGCGTCTTTCCTTTTCACTTCTAATTCCTACTCCCAAATATTCCTTTTTTTTTTTTTTTTTTTTTTTTTTTGAGGGGGAGTCTTGCTTTATTGCCCAGGCTGGAGTGCAGTGCTGTGATACTGGCTCAGTGCAACTTCTGTCTCCCAGGTTCAGGTGATTCTCCTGCTTCAGCCTCCCAAGTAGCTGGGACTACAGGTGCTTGCCACCACACCCAGATAATCTTTGTATTTTTAGTAGAGATGGGGTTTCACCATGTTGGCCAGGCTGGTCTCAAACTCCTGACCTCAGGCAATCCACCCACCTTGGCCTCCCAAAGTGTTGGGATTACAGATGTGAGCCACTGCACCTAGCCCCTACTCCTAAATATTCTATTCAGTGCCCCTAAAATAATTTCCTGACCAACACTGGGTCTATATTGCTAGGCTGAGCAGACCTGGTCCCTCCTATCATGGAGCTTACAGTCTAGCAGAGGATGATAGAGCAATTATCAGCTAAATATACAAATAAATAAGTAACTATAAATTGAGAAAAGTGTTATAAGGAAACAGTTCTGGGTTGGAGAATGAAAGGCAGACACAGACTGGCCAATCATGTAAGCTGAGACTTGAAGGATAAGAAGGAGATAGCCAGTGAGTGAGACAGAGCATTACAGACATAGGAAATGGTTGGTGTGAAGGCCCTGCTGGGTATAAGTGTGGTATGTCTTAGAAATGGAAGAATGCCCAGTGCTTCTGGAGAATAGTAAGTGGTGGGGCAAAGCGGCTTCAGATGAAGTCATAAAGATGAGTGGGGATGTCGGGGGGCTGGAATCATATTATATTACATGCAGGGCGTCAAAGTCCATGAAAGGAAGATTAGATTTTAAGGATGATGAGAAAATCATTGAGACCTGTTAAGCAAATAGGAAAATATAATGGAATTTACATTTAAAATGGAGTCCATAACGCGTGAGAAGAATCATTTGGAATGGGACAAGTGAGGAAACATGTAGATCAATAAGGAAGCCATTGTAGTAGTTCAGGCCAGAAATGATGGTGAGTTGGATTCAGGTGGTGACACTAGATTTGGGAAGAAGTTGGTAGATACACCTGACAATAGCAGCGCCCAATACATTTTATTTTGAGTCAGGAATACAAGCCATATGTATATTTTAAGTTTTCTTGTAACCACATTAAAAAAGTAAAAAGGAAATAGGTGAAATTAACTTAATAATTTAACCCAGTATATACAAATGTTTTCACAAACACATAATCAATATAAAATTTATTGAGCTATTTGACATTCTGTTTTTGTACTACATCTTCAAATCTGATGCATATTTTTGCTTAAAGCACACCTCAGTTTGGGCCAGCCACCTTTAAGTTCTCAGTTGTCATATGTGGCTAATGACAGCCATATTGGACAGTTCATCCTTGTAGAATATGGTGATGGATTAGATGTGAGGAATTTGGGAGAGGGAGGAATTAAGGATAACTCCTTAGTTTTTAGCTTAAGCAAGAAGTATGTGGCAGTACCTTTGGAGATGTAATAAATTAGAGGGAAAAGGGTTAAGGATACAGGTAATAAAACATATAGCTTTGGACATGTTAAACTTGGGATGTATGAAGAGATAAGAAGGATGATGGATGACCCTGACACCTGTGGATTGTCTGGCAATGAGATATCACTGATGGCCCTTTTCCCCCTGGTGTGAGGGCCTGCACTTCATTACCCTTCTCAAAAAGATTTTCAGGTATCATCAGCACTGTTCCCAGCACTGGCTGGCACCTTTTATGAGAAAGAGGTGACCCAAATATAGTTTCTCTTTGCTCACAAAGCTCTGTAAAGACCAACAGCAATAGAAGGAAGGGTCATTCTGTTTGAGCGTATACCAGTGGTGTGTCCAGTTGCATGCCGGCCCAACCATGCCTCTCCACAGGATGGCTAGAGGACAAGAGACTCGTGCAACCTGCAGACCTTCTGTCTGTGAGTTAGCTCTATTGTGTTCTCGGTAATGCTTGCTGGTATCTGTCAGAATCCCTTTTCTGGACAAGATGCAGGTGGGACATTTAAGTAGACATGTCAAAGAAGCCATTTAGATATATGAGTAGATTTTAGAGGAGAATTTTGAGGTAGAAATATAACTTCTGGGATTAATGGCATACAAATGATACTTAAAATTTTGAGAATGCTTTAGAGGAGGAACAGACAAGAGAGTCTAGGACCCAGCCTTAAGTTCTCCAACATTTGGAGGTTGAATGGGAAAAAAAGGTAGGAATGAATGGAATTGTGGAAGCTAGGAGAGGATAGTATTTCAAGAAGGAGGCAGTGGTCAACTGTGATGATACTGTGATGAAAAGATGAATAGGAGTTCTATGGAAGTTTCACTATTCCCTTGTGATGAAATGCAAGCCCTCCACCAGCTGCCTCCCATCTACCACCTTCCTTAAACTTTTTTTTGATTTTTGTTTCTGTTTCCCTAAACCGAAACCCATTTTTCTTGCTTCCATCCCTGACTTGAGCTATTTTCTTGTGCTTTTCCCCATCTCCAATTCTAATATAGTGCTTTTGTGTGTGTTTTTTTTTATCTTCAAACCTTCCCTCAAATTGTTTAATATAGTGTATATGGAATAACCATTCTTTGGTTTGCTGTATACCACCCATCTGCTGTTACTTATTTGAATACCTATGTTGATCATGCTTTTGATGTCCAAGAATAAGAATTTCGAATATAAGGCTTATATCTGTGCTACATGTACTAAGTGTTTAGCATAATGCATTTATTCACTGTTGGATCCTAATTATTAGTCTAAATTCTAAAGGGGTTTATCAATAATAATTAACAATAAATTAATAATAAAGGTTGGCAAAATTAGAGTAACAGTTTAGTGGTGATGCTATGTTTTAGACTAGTGCTGCCCAACAGAACTTTCTGCAGTGATGAAAATTTCTCTCTGTTCTATCCAGTAGATAGCCATTAGCCTCATGTGGTTATTGAGTAGTTGAAATGTGGCTAATGAGGAACTGAATTTTAATGGAAAAAAAACCTAAATTAGTTAGAATTAAAATTTAGATAACCACATGTGGCTAGTGACTACTGTATTGGAAAGCACAGCTTTAGACAACATGATCTGTTAATATAACTTTTCTATTCCTTGAGTTTGGGCACAATAGGACCATGTTGATGCTTGATAACTACCTGCAGATGACAGCCTTTGTTTTGTTTTGTTTTGTTTTTAGGTCTTTGGTAGCCCCCAGATTTCTATATTCTATAAATAAAGTGGTCCTGAAATTTTTGTGTTCAGTTTACGTATGTCTTTTACATCTGAAAGTCTGCTCAGGAACTATAGGAAACAGTGGTTCTAAAATCTGATCAGTCAGATCATTACAATCACCTAAGTGAGCTGTTGCCTAGTTATTTCCCTGTTACAGGGAATTTTTCACTGTCTCTGCCTCTTCATAGGTTTTAGCTTGCTGTCATGTGGCCCATGTCGACTCTTAGACTTTGATTTCATTTCTTTTCTTCTGTCTTTCACCACTCTTCAAAGCACCAGAGGACAATGCCAAAATTCCTGTTATTTGTTATTTGATCTTGAACATCTAAAATCATCATTGCCTAAACAACTTCCGATCTAAATTATGCCTAGAGGATCTCCACAATAGCCCAAAATAGCCAAAAATGCTCAGTAAAGTGTCTTCACAAATAAGGGGCAGTCTTTTCCTTAGAGGTATTCTGATCCTCCAAGGCCATGTGGCTCAAACGGAAACCAACATTGATAAATTTTTTCTTTCCACTGGGCAAATTTCAGTCTTTTTTGAGGTACTTTCTGCTGCATTTGATACTGTTGAAATAGGCAATTACTGCTCATGGAATATAGTTCTTAAGATACAAACAAACTTATCTAGGCAATTACTGCTCATGGAATATAGTTCTGAAGATACAAACAAATTTAGAATGCAAAGTAAATCTCCCACACTCCTGTACTCACCTAATTTATCTTTCAATAGACTATCTCTAAGAGGCCCCACAATAAATTAATATGTTTTCCTCTCAGAGACAGTCT